CCCTCAAACACTGACCACACAGCCACCACGTGACCCTCAAACACTGACCACACAGCCACCATGTGACCCTCAAACACTGACCACACAGTTACCACATGACGCTCAAACGCTGACAACACAGCTACCATGTAACCCTCAAACGCTGACAACACTGCCACCATGAAATCCAGAAACAATGACCATGTGGTTACCATGTGACCCTCAAACGCTGACTACAGTTACCACATGACCCTCAAACACTGACTACACAGCCACCATGTGACCCTCAAACACTGACCACACAGCCACCACGTGACCCAGTGATTCCATCGCTGGGAATACACCCAAGGGCTTTCAGAGTGGCAACCTGCACAGACCCGTGAGCACGGGTGCTCCCGGCAGCATCACTCACGACAGTGGAAAGACAGAAATGCCCATCGACAGGTGAGCGGACGTGGTATAAATGCACAGTGGAAGGCCACTCAGTCACAGAGAGAAATGAGGTCCTGCTACATGCTGCAACATGGCGGAGCCTGGAGCCACGACGCAGAGCAGAGTAAGTGAGTTACAAAATGACAAGTACGGCATGACCCCACTTACACAAAAAGACAAGAACAGGCACCATTCAGAGACCAAAATTCAGGTGGACGGGAGGGGGCAGCACTGCATAGGGAGCACTGTGCTCTAGTCTATGACGGGGGGTGGCACTGCGGAGGGAGCACTGTGTTTTGGTCTATGACGGGGGGTGGCACTGCGGAGGGAGCACTGTGTTTTGGTCTATGACCGGGGAGGGGCAGCACTGCGGAGGGAGCACTGTGTTTTGGTCTATCATGAGGGAAAATTCCTGGTGACTCAGGGTAGGGTTGCACAGTCCATGACTGTAGTTGCTGTCACTAAGTCACACACCTGTAGAAAGCTGAAGTGGCAAAGGTGAGTGATCGACCTTTACAATGACAACCAGGCCCAGCTGCTGAGGCTGCCATGTACAACCAAACACATCACGGCATTTGGTTTCCTGGTTTGGAGGTTTAGGCTCATGGTTTCACAGACCATCCCAGATAACTGTCTAGTATTGTGCTTCTTTGTGTATTGCCTGGGGTGGCCACCCAGGGATAACAACTGGTCTCTACTCCCCAGGAACAACAGAGGAAGGAGGAGAGTCAGGCACAGGAAGGGGAAATGGGATGTGTGCCTAATGCCTCCTCCACCAGGAGACAAGAAGAACTGGAAGGGCCCGGCAGCCATCACTGGACATACCGATTCAAGACTCTGCAGGAGAATCCTGATCCGAGTGTGAGTGGCAGGGGAATGCAGATGTACTTTCAAATGCTCTTGGACCCAGACTTTCTGGAGCCATGCAGGGTACATGAGTCCCTGAAAGCTTACCTAAGATAATCTTTAAACCTTCAACCAAAACTAGAAGTCTTCTTAAAACCAAACAATAGTTTACCTCAACTAGTACAGAAAACCAGTCTTAAGCACTGTGATCTCTCCAGATCTACACGGGATCAAAGGGACAACAGCAATTCTAAAAATCAGACGGCAAACCAAGGGGCAGTGACTGATGTGAATGAGGGAGAAACAATTCGGAAAAGGAGGGTAAGACTGGCTGACAGCCTGAAGACTGTGACCGTCAGTCATCTGTACAGGGAGAACCTGCCGAACTGCTGCATGTTCTACTACACACACTCTCAACAATAAGTTATATGAGGAAAAGAAGCACAAGGCCGGAACTTGCTTTGTCTGAGCCCACAGCCCTCCTCAGCTACTTCTTCACTGTAACTCTGAGGTGGGTATCGTGCAGTGAATTCCTTAAAGTGGCCCTCTTAGCTGCACATGGTCTCATAACTCCCACATGATTGGGTAAAACTATGTAAATAAGGTGTGTGGCGGATAGAATACTCTGCCAATGCAAGTGAAGTATATGGAACCCTAGCGAGAAGACTGGTCAGTTCTGACAGCCTGCTGAACTTAAACAGAGTGCCGGTCCCATGGGAGCACTTCACTGTCGAGAACAGCTAGTACAGTGTGTTCTTTGGACTTGGGGTCCCTGTGCTGAGAACCTCCTGGACCCGGGAGACAGAGAGCTATTAACAACGGAGACAGCATGAGAAGGCGAGGAGCGGCAGCAAGCATGGCAGAACCCAGCTGCAGAGGAACCGCAGAGGCAGCAGCATGAGCCCACAGAGCGAGGCAGCGACAGGTGGGTGCCGACCCACGGAGGATGCTGCACGAGACGGCACGGCGGGCGCCCCAGCCCACAGAGCGAGGCAGCGACAGGCAGGTGCCGACCCACGGAGGCAGCTGCACGAGACGGCACGGCGGGCGCCCCAGCCCACAGAGCGAGGCAGCGACAGGCGGGTGCCGACCCATGGAGGCAGCTGCACGAGACGGCACGGCGGGCGCCCTGGCCCACAGAGCGAGATAGCGACAGGCAGGTGCCGACCCATGGAGACAGCTGCACGATACGGCACGGTGGGCGCCCCGGCCCACAGAGCGAGGCAGCGACAGGTGGGTGCTGACCCACAGAGGCAGCTGCACGAGACGGCATGGTGGGCGCCCCAGCCCACAGAGCGAGGCAGCGACAGGCAGGTGCCGACCCATGGAGACAGCTGCACGAGACGGCATGGCGGGCAGCCTGGCCCATGGAGCAAGGCAGCTGAGTGCCTTCAGACTGAGGCTTGCTGGCGGAGTGGGACGCCCTCCACTTAGTGGTGTCACTGAGAGACTTTGACCATGTGGTTACCACGTGACCCTCAAACACTGACCACACAGCCACCATGTGACCCAGTGATTCCATCCAAGGGCTTTCAGAGTGGCAACCTGCACAGACCCGTGAGCACGGGTGCTCCCGGCAGCATCACTCACGACAGTGGAAAGACAGAAATGCCCATC